GGCACTTGACTGCCAACCAGATGGCTGGCGGTTCAAACCCACCAGCCACTCCTTGGAAGGAAGATGGGGCAATCTACTTCCGTAGTGATACTGCCTTGGAAACCCAAGGAGGGGTCACTATAAGTCATGTCCAACTCAACAGCACATAACAACAACAACAACAACATGTTGATAAGTGAGAAGTGGATATCTAACCTGCTTTAGTTTTGTTTAAATAAAATTCATAGTCAAAAAAACAGTGTCACGGAACTATACTGATGGAACTGGAAGCTCAGACAGCTCAGAAAATTCATTTTAATGTTTTATCCAAAATGGAGGAGGTACCGCCTTATCTTCCCAGCATGCCCTCAGTGTCCATTGGCACTCACACAGCAATCTCCCTTCTCCTGGTTTCCTAGGGCTGCCACAGCAGAATGCAACCAAGTCAACGGCTTTACGAACAGAAATTTATCTGCTCACAGTCCTGGAGAGTAGAAGTTCAAATTCAAGGTGTGTGCAGGACATGCTCTCTCCGAGGGCTCGAGGGGAAGATCTTTTCTTTTCCGATCCAGCTCCAGCAGCCCAGACGTTGGCTGGCGTCCCCTGGCTCCTTGCAGATATATTTTCACATGGCGTCTCCTCCATGTGACTATCTATGTGCATGTTCTCCCTTTTGTAAGGAACCACTCAGAAAGGATTAGTACCATCCTGTGCCAGTACAACCTTGCCAATTTCACTGAAAAAACAGGGAAAAACAACCAAACCAACCCAAACCCACTCCCACTGAGTTTATTTTAACTCACAGTGACCCTGTAAGACAGAGTAGAACTGTCTCAAAGGCTTCTCCTAGGCTATCCATCTTTACAGAAGCAAAACACAAATCAAACCCACTGTCATCAAGTCTGAGTCACAGCGTCCCTAGAGGACAAAGTGGAACTGTCTATGTTGTTGTTGTTGTTATGTGCCGTCGAGTCGGCCCCGACTCATAGCGACCCCTCCTTGGGTTTCCGAGGCAGTATCACT